GTCGGGCCGGGCTCCCCCCGCGCCGTGGGGCGCCCCAGGGGACCGGGCTGCCCTCGGGGGTGACCCCCATCCCCAGGGCGCTGGGCCGGGTGCCACGGAGGCCGGACGGGGTGTGAACACCCGGAGTCAGGGATGTCCCTGCCGTTCTGTCACCCTGCATCCTTGTGGCTGTGCCCCAGGGGACAGGGAGTCCTTGCTGGGCCACCCCTGCCCGAGGTCTCTTGGTGCTGCCCCTGGTGCTACAGCTGTGCTGGTGGGGTGGCAGCGAGGTGACACACATGCTGGTGCGGTGGCACGCAGGACAGAGGACCCCACGTCCTCCTGCTGTCACCCTGATGCCACGGAGGTGTTTGCCTGCTGGCAGGGCCATCGGGCTCATGTGGGCGTCGGGAGCTCTGTGTCCCCGGCCGCGGTGGGAGCCAGCCCCGGCGCAGGACCGGGCCATGCTCACGTCCCTGGCTGCTCCTCATCCCTCATCCGTGCCTGGGGCCCGAGGCGATCGCTCGGCAGGGAGGGGGCACCCACGGGGTTAAGTCCAGGTGCCCATTGCCATCCTGTGAGGACCCCAGGGCAGGCACAGACCGGACTCTAAGGCGGTGCCGCTCTGTTATTTTAGGGTCTCCTGGCAGTGCTCAGGATGGCAGGAAGGTCCAAGGGGGTGCTGAGGGCTGGGAGCGCCGTGGGCGAGAGGCTGCGCGAGGCCTTAGGCCTCCAGTGGTGTCTGTGGGGCTCAGCAGGGCCGTGCCGGGCAGGAAGGGTGGCCAGGAGCGTGCTCGGAGCTGATGAGGTGCCCCAGGAAGGGGCCTTGCAGCCCTCCCGTGCCCACCCCTGTGCCCAGCAGCCCCCAGGGGGACGAGCCGCCCTGACGCTCTCCTCCTGGCTCCTGCAGGTGGGCCACGGGCTCATGGTCCGTCCTGTCCCTGGAGGGTCCTCCTGGGTGCCCTGGGGTTGTGAGGGCTCGTGGGGAGGTGCCGAGCTCGGCTGTGCGGGGCCACCCAGCGCTCGGAGCAGGGACGCGGTTTGGAGGTCAGGCAGGGGTGGCAGGAGTCCCCCTGGGGACATCCTGGCATCTTGCTGGTGCCCCCAGCCCATTACCCCCCTCACGGCCCCGCAGGAGCCCAGAGCCTGTCGTCCGGTGCCAAGAAGCCGCGGAGCCGCAGCATCTTCCAGTCCCTCTTCTGCTGCCTGTGCCACGATGACACCGAGCCCTTCTCCGTCAACAACAACGCGCCGCTGCTGGTGGAGGAGAACGGCACCGTGCCCAAGGTACCCCAGCAGGCCCCTCCTGTGCCGGGCAAGGGGGTGCAGGGGGCAAAGGGGAGCTGCCCCCACCTCTGCCGGCAGCTCCTCGCGGTGTCCCCAGCCCCACACACATGTCCCCGCTGCAGGCTGCCATCAAGCACCTCCTGCCCGAGATCAAGCCGCAGGACGCCAGCAAGCTGTGCGTGGTCATCGACCTGGATGAGACGCTGGTGCACAGCTCCTTCAAGGTGGGAGATGCCCCAGGCGCTGCCCCGTCCCACCTCCCTGTGCCCCAGCCCTCCCGAACGAGCACCCCAGGCACCTGCAACCAGCCCTGTGTGTCCGGCTGTGCCCGGCTGTGCCCTGTCACCTCCCGGCTCGGACGGGGTGTCCCGGTGCCGGGCTGGCGGCTCCGGGAGGCAGCAGTGCGGAGGCCCCAGGGCTGGCGCGGGAGGCCAGGGGGGCGGCGCTGGGGCAGGGGGGGGGGGC